GGGCGGGCGGGCAGGCAGGCAGGCAGGCAGGCAGTGTTCTGCTCTGAAGGCGCCTCTGTCGCGCACGCTGCTCGCAACCGTCAGGAGCGGGCTGAGAAGATCAGGAAGAAAACCTGCGTTTTCCCCGACGGTGCGTGCTCATCTGGCCCCGGGATACCACGTAGCCCAAGAAACGCACAGCATCGAGTTCAGTGTTCTGTGCCCCATTTTTTACTATTCCCCCCCCCCCGTTAAAACGTTATTTTTTAATCCAAGAGGGAGAATAAGATTTGAAAGGTTTTCGTTGGAATTGATTTCTGGTTTTAGGTACCAGATCGAGTAATTGTTCTGTTGTGTAATACAGAGAAAAACGGAACCTATGTTTTTCTGTTCCCACTGTCTGTTCAGGGTAGGAGAATGCTCTGATAGCAAGGAACTGTAGCTTTTGTATTTTTTTCCTAACGCCAAGGCAGTACAAAATTAGGAGAAGAGTAACACTAAAAATATACTGTTAAACTTCGGGTCAGGTGTGAAATTTATAAAGGTAACTAGTAACTACGTAATTTGAGTTTTGACACAGTTCAATCTTAAGTATCTGTTTGACACCTGTTTTTCTTGTCGTTAAAAAACGCAAAGTAGCTCAACAGAACTTGGAAACAACGAATCAACTTTGTCACTGGTTGAACTTCATTCGTTTAGGATGTTCTACCCTTTAGGAAGTTCTATCCTTTTTCTTGGTGTTGGGCGCATAGCTGAAAACTGTGGTTTTCTTTTCAGTGAAGTCTTTTAGATGCCTGATGTTTTAATTCACAGGGAAATGATCTGCACTGGCTAGCGTGTGCCTTGTATGTGGCTTGCAGAAAAGCAATTCCAACTGTGAGCAGAGGGACAGCTGAGGGAAATTATGTATCCCTAACCAGAATTTTGCGCTGTTCAGAACAAAGGTAACTTTTCTTTTTTGCTAATTTTTAAACGCTTACAAAATCTCGAAGACTGCTTATCAGCTTGTGAAGTTTTAGAAACTGAGAACAAAGGCTAAACGTCTTTCTTGTTTCCTGCTTTTAAAGATAGAATTTATATCATCAGAATCTTTGCGTTATAGCTCATTGCCACAGAAGGAGGACAGTTCCATTTGGTCATTACTACGTTGTAAAAACACTGGTTTTCAAAATCAGAGATTGCCTTCCCTCACTCAAAGGAGAAAGAAACCCGTCCCTGAAGAATAGTCTGGTTTTGAAAAGTGTGCAAAGTGTGAACTTCTCACATGAGAAACCATTTTTAATTGGCTGTGAAAATATTTACAAAATTTATCCTTTTTTTTGTAAGAAGACTTTACTTTTCACATGTCCTTGCCTTATGAAACTAAAGTGATGTCAGAATCTGATAAACAAATGTGTATCAAATGTTTATGTCCATAAAGTAATGAAGAAAAACTACCTGAAACAATTGACTTCCTTTATTAGCAATCTGATTGTTTTGTAACAATTTAGTAGATTGGCAAAAAAAAAAAAAGAATGTTCTTGTGCACTTTTTTCCCCATCTCCTTTACTGTTGGAGCATTGCTGTCGGTTTAAACAATACAAAAGTGTTCCTTTAAAAACTTTTTTTTTGCAAATCAGAAATTCAGGGAATTGAATAGTTTCTGTGATCTGGGTTATCAAAGACTAATAACATTGAAAAAGCAGGTGTAGATAAAGGAGTGAAAAATAAATTAAAGCCAAACTTATGGAGTGTAATTTACTGAAACTCAGGGTTTTTTCATACTTTGTAGAATCTTCCCAGCATTGTAGAACTCAGAGTTTGTTTTATTTAAGTTAATAAATCAGTCAGAAAGATGAGGGAAAACTGATTTGAGAGTAATCTGACTGTTGGAGCTGATTGTGTCTTTGTGAGGAAAAGCCAAGAACTGCGACTACGTAGTTAACACAGTCATCAACCGAGGATATAAAAATATTTTGCGAGCTGTCTGAGCTCATCCTCGTTTATGGGTGAAGGACTGGCTCTGAGTACGTTGTCGTGTTTGCAATACCGCCATTTTGTCAGTAGTTTGGGAAGTAGAAATTGCACTTTTGTTGTAAATAAATAAAATGTATAGTGTATTTCTGAAAAAACAAACAAAAAAAAATTCAGATCTAACCCATTTGGTATTTTCAGCTTGATAGAGTTTTTTAACAAGATGAAAAAATGGGAAGACATGGCAAATCTACCCTCCCAATTCAGAGAACGAACTGAGAGATTAGAGAGAAACTTTACAGTTTCTGCAGTAATTTTTAAGAAGTATGAGCCCATTTTTCAGGACATTTTCAGATATCCTCAAGAAGATCAACCTCGGCAACAGAGAGGAAGAAAACAGAGGTACGTTTCTGTTATTTCCAGACCAATTTTAGAGTATTACTACTATAAAAATATAATTAAGTTGCTCAGTTGTGTTAGTTGTATTTTTGACTGTAATTTCATAGTAGTTCTTTGTAATATTGAGGTTGGTCTGTCTGTCCTTGCTCGCAGTAATTTTTGAATCTTTTTTTCAGTTTGTCAGATCTGGCAGGGTTCAGGAAATCCCAAAGCTGTTAAGTTTCTGTGATTTGGGGGGCAGGGGAAAGGGGAGAGATTAAAATCAGCCTGTAGACAAGAGAAATATTAGTATTTCTAAGATGGGAAAGGCTGGAAGATTTGATCATTGTACGATCAGTATAGCCTCAGTAGCTCAAAGAACAACTCAGCCTGTTTCACTGCCTAGTAATTCTCACAGTTTTCTTCATAGACGTAGACCATCTGGGTGTTTTAACTTTATAGCAGAAGCTTTATTTCTTTGTTACTGTTCGTATTAGGAGTGCTGTGAAAACAGTGCCCTGGCTGCCTTTTCTGGGTATTCTGATCTCAACAAGATTTCATCTGTTTGTGCCAGCACTTAACATGGCTTGTGATTTCTCGTGGTAGTTAATAGAGATTGATTTATTATTATTATTTCTTTCATCTTCACTACTGTGAAGTGCTGTTGTCTGGTTGCTTTTGTGGTTTGTTTGGGGTTTTAAAAATTATTTTATTTTACTTCTTCTAATATTTACAGGCTATTTCTTAGTTGGGTTTTTTGGCTTTTTTTTTTTTTCTCCTTGATGTTCTTGTGACCATAACATTTGTAACCAAATATATTTGAAATTATAATAAAAGGCAGGATTGTGCCTAAATGATTTTGTTGGAGAATGCAAAAGGTGAGTAAATTGGAATTGGACTATAGATGGAATAGAATTATGTATCTAGATGAATATTTGCATATAATCTTGAAATTAAAATATACTGCGTCTATAATTCTATGATTAGAAGAGTAAACCCTGCTAGTTGGTTACCTTGGATGGTAAGGTGTGAAGTAATTTTGAAGATGAAGTTGGAAGATGATACTTACTAATTTTTGTGTGAAATGTATGTTAATTTTGACATTTAAAACCATTCTTCACATAACCTGATGGAGGATGAGCTGTGATATATGAAATAGCCCTTCCAGTGATACGTTTTACGGAAACAAGGAATGATGTCATGGAGTTATTAAAATAGTTTGGTTTGGGTTTGGTTTTTTAAATACATGCAATAAATACTTGAGCATCGTTTCTGATTTTTTTGGGTTTTTTTAATTTGGATGAGTTGATTACTCTGTCAAGATTTTTCTGCTACCAAGAACACAAACCGAACTTACTAGCCAGAAACGTGAAAGTAGGAAGGAGATTTAGGAAATCTGTCCAGTATGGTGTATGTAGCAGTATTAAGAAATAATAAATCCTTAATAGCTGCAAAATTTTTGATTTAAAAAGGGGCCTTATGAATGAGTTATATTTTATTTGAAAGCATTTTAAACAAAGACCAGCAGAGGAACTTGGTTCTAATAAACATTGAATATATTTCAAAATTCTGTACGCTATCTAAAATCCTATACAAAATGCTTTACCTTAGCACACAGATGACACTCTTGTGAACACACAGTTCTGAAACTCTTGCCCATACTGAGTATATTAATATCAACACGCAGTGTAATGTGTTCCTCCAAGAACATGTATACATGCTTATATTACTCAGAATGCTTATGAAGAAGGAATTTCAGCTCTGGCCCTCAAACTATTTTGATTGACTAAATGTGCTATTTGTTGTATGAAGAAGCAGAAATAACATTTTCTGTAGATTTTAAATTCAGATTTTTCTTTGGAACTAAGATCATACTTTTGCCTTAAAAGAAAACATTTAGGCCAGCCATGTTTAACATTAAATTTACAGTAATTTTCTGCTCAAGTCTTGGCCTATTTCTAATGGAATCTGCTGCGTTGGACTGCCGTAGTGACATTTGAATCATTACATGCAGACTGAAACTGGGGTTCCGTTTGTGTCTGCACTAAACCAGTGTGCGGCTTTCTTTATTACCTTTAGTCAGGTTTTTGTGGGAAGGGTTTAAGATTTTGGCCACACTATAGTAAAGCTTCATTCTTTTAGAATGATTGAATGTTGTATGATGTTCTATCAGTTTTAATTCATTGAGCTTACTGGGTGTCTTCTTGCTGTATTTTTCCCCAAAAGACGACAACCGTGCACTGTGACTGAAGTTTTCCAGTTTTGTTGGGTGCTGTTTGTTCATGCAAAAGGTAAGAGATTTGAAAGGGATTAAATACTGCACACCTGGTTTTGTTAGTCATTATGTTATATCAATCCTTAAACACTGAATGGGTGCAGGCATTTCTGAATTCAGAAATGCCTTTGGAGAAGGGACCTTCTCAGAACAGCCTGAAGGAATGTATTCTGTCTTAATTTCCCCAGCTGTATGTTTTACCACACTTCTAAGGTAAGCTATATGTCTAAATAGTTTGGTAGCTTTTATGTGGAATATTTTTACAAAGTTTCCAGTATTGTGAAGATTTATGCTGTAATTCCAAGGGAAAAACTAGCTTAGAACTTTAGTGAATTCATACTCAGATGTTGTTGTAATTAACATAAGGTGTATATGTATGTTTACTAGGAACAAAGAATATTTAAATTCCTCCTAAGTTTCCAGCAAGGCTGAAAATATTTAATGAATTTTTTCCTATCACCTAGTAAAAATTTGTCATAAAACTCTAGGTGTGAATACTTTCACGCTAGTATCACAGATAGCATTCTAATTCTTTTGATAGCCTTTTTGCCCCCTTGCCTTTTTAAAAAATGAGTACACAGCAACTGTATCAAATAACCATATGCGTTACTAAATAGGTCTGCATGCGCCTGTCTTGCAAGGGTGATTTTCTCTTGCATTTTGGACATAGCAGTATATATATAAACGGCTGGCGGTCTTGAAGACTCAGATCCCTTTGGAACGCATAAGGGGATCCTCTGTTAATATGCTTCTGTAGAAATAATGCAATGAACAGACAATATATTGCAATGTATATATAACCTTTATCGTAAGCACAGCCTTAAAGCTAATGAGAATAGTAGAGGATTTCAGCAGTTTTTCTTGATAATGATTGATGGGAGAAAAAGCCACAGGAGGGAACAGGATTAAATCCTTATTTTAGGCTTAAGTTGTTCAGTCATGTCACGTATAGTCTAAAGTCTTTCCTCATCAAACCTGCATCTTAAAGTTTCTGCATACCTAGGGCTTTATTCAAGTACTGCTTGGATGAGTGTTCACTGGGAATTCTGTATAAGTAAGATAGTGTTTTGAGGGAAATAAAGACAAGATTTATATTCCTCACTGAAAGAACATCTTTGTAGATTCAGGTCCATTGATAACTTCCAGAGACTTTTTATAATTTTTCATAAGATAACTTCTAGTAGAAGAAAACTAATAGTTTAATTTCTACAAGAGAAGGATAAAAGGAATTTTGTTTTGGTTTTGGGATGTGTGGTGGGGTGGGTTTTTTCCAATTGCAAAGTGAATTAGTGTTAAGATTCCTGCAGTGTGCTGCGATTTCCTTAATTGGCTGCTTTTGAAGATAGAACAGAGTAGGCTGTCACAATATTGAATTATCTGGCACTAATTTTGTTCAGTACAGATTAGCCTTTCTTTCTACACTGTACCACATTGCAAAGGGTTGCCAGCAGCTCCCTTTTGGAAAAGTTACTGGCGATATTACTGGACCCTCACCATCACATCTTTGTACAGAGATCAAGAAGGGTGTGGTATTGCACGAGTGCTGTACTACTGAACACTGTACCTCATGTAGAAGATGCCTTTTTCCAATAGGCTGCAAATTCTACTCTACCGGGGAAGAGAAATCTTTCCTAAATAAGTATGTTGCTCGCAACCCTGAAACACAGTATGATTTTCATCTTTTTTTTCTTTTCCTTTTCAGTCCAGAACAGCGCTCTCGAGCAGTATGAAATAACCTATTCATATTCCACTGAGTCCAGAGGAGAGTTAGTACTGTACTTTATTTCCAGTCAGTCAGGACTTTACTTCTTTAGCACAGTTAGGCAGCTGAGAGAGTAAGTAGGTCAGTCTGAAAAATCACAGATTTTTCTTTTCCCTTCTATAAAATCCCCACTTCTATGAGTAGATTGGACAGTTGACAAGGTGCAAAGGGACTTTATGAGCCTTCCTATTGCTAAATTATTGGTGAATATGTTTGAGTAACTCCATCATCAATTAACTACCTGTTAATTAGCGAGCAGTTTCAGACATACAAATTAACTTTGTAGAGAATACCACGTTGATAACACAACCAATTAAATTTTACAAGAAAAAGGAAAATTTACAGTAATTATAAACTGTAAAATTAGTAAGTGACTAGTGGTAAATTTATTAAAGTGTGGCAGCACAAAAATGGAAACTAAATATTGACCATTTAAGGCATTAAATATTCACGTTAAGTTTTGTTCACTGTGTTTTGAGGGTTGGCAGTAATCCTTATCATGGCAACCGCACATCAGTGGCAAGTTCAGGCTTGTCTCTGTGATATTTCTGCAAGCCTGAAGATCATTGCATTCAGTTTCACAAATGCAGAAAGTACAGGTCTCGTTCGTACCTTTGGTATACACTGCAAAGTAAGAGAGCGACTTTGTTTAGCGATACTGCAATTCTCGCATACTATTTGTAAGAATTTATCTTTAAATTCTCTATCTTGACTTTTTTTCTTTCTTTAAAATGGAAATGAAAAAATGTATCTCTGCTGCACTGAGATAACTATTTTTTATTATTTGGTACTAGGCTGGGAAAGGGAGTAGTAAGCTATTCTTTGAAATGTCATTGGCAAATCATTTGTATGAAACTACTGGTACTGTAAAACTAGATTTATTTTTGACTGTGCTGACAGTAACGATTGCCATGCTAGACTTCACGGTTATGAAAGTGAACCTATGTTACGAGAGTTACTTTAAGATTTTTATTGATTAACATTTTGCTATTGTATTTAGGACTTTCATTGCTTTGCTGTGAACCTTTCATGATTTGGAAATAACTGATAAATGTGTACAGTTAATTCAAATTTCGTGTAGGCTTCATTATTTTAAATAGGTCCAATTATCTGCATTCCAAACACAGAATCAGAAAGTTGAATATAAATTTGAACAAACTGGTACGTTACTGGTAGAAAAGTAACAGCATAATTTAGAAAAATTCTTTAATCATATATACATTTTGATGTGTTCTAAGTGAGTTTATTATCATATGATAGATTTCTTCAAGGACTTAAAACTGTTCTTCATAGTGGGCTCAGCTAAGTGGTTTGGAGCATACCTGAAGAAAAAAAAAAAAAGTAGAAGAGTTGTTAGTATCGAAAGAGTGATAGAAAATCATGCTGTGCATATAAATTCATGCAATTGTGATTTATGGTATTAATTAATGGTATAGTTTATTTTACAAGACTGTTTTTAGCTATGGCCATTCCTCTAAAGGAATATCATAAACCTAAATGAGTTCAGTAGAGAGTAATGAATCTGAATATAATCTCTGTGAAAGGTGGTAAGAGTGAAGAGGTTTCAAGGATTCTTTTCTACAGGAAGATGATAAATAAGAAATACTTTAGAGGTATATGAAATAAAGCTACATTGTAAACCAGATCAGAGGTATGCATTTTAACTCTTTTGTAAAGCACAAGAGAAATAAAGTTGAATTTATTACTGTTTATAATGAGCATGCCCCCGACAAAATTTTTGTAAAGAAAACAGATTGGTAAAGGAACATAATCTCCTGACTTTGAGTTGAATATTGAGTCATTCTGGAGAATGGGGGGAATTGAGGGAGGGGGCGGTGCTTGCTTTTTCTAGGACACCTGAACACTTGGGTCCAGCCTAGCAAAAGCTGAACTTCTTTGCCACACTTTACAGCAATGCAAAATTGGGGGAAAGGAAAGTCTCGGTCGGAACACATTCTTCCCCCTTACGCGCCTTTAGAATGAGATTCTGCTTCAGGCAGGTGGAGTAAGAATCTGTTGAAGGATGTAACACTGCCAGACCGTGGGGCTTGTGTTGCCAGAGTTATGGTAACAAATTCTTCTTCCTTGAGACAGTTTGCATTATACAGGTTATGCTGCTTCAAGTTATTTATGCACTGATTAATCAGATTACTGTGAATTGAGGGAGTCTGCAATATCACGTTTACCAACAATTTGGTAAGGTCTGATTTCAAAACAGCACAGTATGTTTGAGTTCCTACACAATTGCTGCTGTTCCTGAAAACATATTTTACTCTTATATTTGCTATATTTTATTAAGCGTGTGTCTGTTTTACGACCTGCGTTTCTATCCAGATATTTATAGTCACCAAAGTCTGTGTTTCCAAGACTCCATTATTGACTGTAATACAAATATTAACAGTTTCTTGGTTAAAAGAATGTTAAATCTATGCTAATTTTAATTAACCTCTTATGTCTTTCTAATACTGAAGGTAATTTTCCTATGATCAGCGATGACTTGGTCAATTCCTACCATCTCTTGTTATGTGCTTTGGATCTAGTGTATGGAAATGCTCTCCAGTGTCCTAACCGTAAGGAACTTCTGAATCCTAATTTTAAAGGTATGTTGAAAAAAACTATCTATCCAAAGTCTGCAAGAACTTCTAAGGCTACTGAAATTAGCATGAATCTATGTGGCAGAGAATAAGGTGAATAATATTGATTTGAAATATGTGGCAATTAATATTTTATATATCTGGCTACACAGATTTCTATTAACGTAGTATGTAATAACAGACTACTGAATTTCCTCAATAATACAGTAAGTCAAGAATTTAATTTACTATGGAAATACCATTGAAGAAAGTTCCAAAGTAAAAATTTCAGTTAATGACATTTTAATGTCAGTGAAAGGGTGCATAATGACGCGGTCATTATTGGACGCAGTCAGACGGGAGAGTTCCCGTGAGGCAGCAGTTTGGAAAGATCCAGTGTTCAAATCCGAGAGTGGCAACTTTGTTTCTCTCTCATTTCTGGATTGCTGCTGTTCTCTTTCTGAAAGAATGGAAATGTAGGTTGACCTGATAACCACGAATGCAAATGAGTAGCGAGAAGTTTCCATTGAATTTCTGATGTAATTCTTTCCAGACTTATACTTCATTTTTAGTGCTGTACAGTATTCGCATTTACTTCATAGTGGTTCAGATGTGAACTGGGACCACTATCTCAAGTTTATTTGAATGAATGTTATAGTTCACAAGTGTTTGAGTGATTTTCTATCAGAACTGATATTTTTAATTTTTATTACTCAATATCTAATTTTTTTAAATCTCCGACTCAAAATTGACTTTTGATAACCTTATCAAATTGAGTGGGCATTATATAATTAATAATTCTTTCAAGGGATCTAATTAGTTTACCATTTTAATTTCACACTACCTAGACTATATAGCATAGAATTTAAGTTTAATAAGAAAACAGGATATGGATTTGCAAAATTAAATAATATAGTATTCTTAACTGCAGGTCTACCTGAAGACTTTCATAGCAAGGATTATAAAGTATCGTCTGATCCTCCCTGCATCATTGAAAAACTGTGTTCATTACATTATGGATTAGTTTTAGAAGCAAAAGGCATAAAGGAACATTTTTGGAAGCCATATATTCGGAAACTTTTTGACAAGAAGGTTGGTCAATAAATTTGTAATGTAGAAAAATTTCTCCTTACTCATTACCTTCAAAACCTTTGTAAGAACTGAAATGTCCATCCTTTGTTCTTAACTGTCTTACAGCTTTTAAAAGGAAAAGATGAAAATCTGACTGGATTTCTAGATCCTGGGAACTTTGGAGATAGCTTGTGAGTCACTGTATTCGTGGTTTGGTTTGCATTAGTATCCCTCTGCAATACAATTGCACTTGCATTATTACCTGTATCTTAACAGTAACACTAGCTACTTGACTTGCGTATTTATTAATGTTCATACATTGCATTGCGTTTCAGTTCCTTTTCTTTGAGGTGGTATGGTCTGAGGCATAGTTGAAAGAGGAGTGATTCTTCAGGATGGTGTTACTTGATGTCTGCTTTTATTCTTATGTTTCCTCAATTTTTTTTTTTTATATAACTCAAAGTGTTAGTATGAAAAAGATGTGGGATTACATTGAATGAGTGGAAACTGGGAGGGAAAAATTGGGTTTGGTGGTATTTTTTTATTTAGAAACTGAGAGATGCTTATGAGTAGGACTTATTTTCTTTTAAATGGTATGAAAACAGTAAGCGTAGTTTATGATGATGTGATGCTGCATAAGTTTTGAGGAGTTTCCAGCCAAATACAAGTTCTCAGTATTTTATTGTGTTCCTCCTGCAGCTATACTAAATGGCAAGCCATCAGATTTAGTGGAAAAATAACGTCCTTGCCACTGTCATGTTTAAGATACTGTCGATTTTAAAGGAGCTCCAACACTTAAGTCAGGGTTAAAAGAAGTTCTGAAGTAGACTTCCAACAGGCCAGAACTGTGTTCATTCAGTAAGCAGGTGAACAAAGCACTGTCTAAATAAAGGGGGTTTTGTATCTGTCTTCTCCTTTCTGCTGTAGCAAAGCCATCAACAAGGCCTACGAGGAGTATGTTTTGTCAGTAGGAAATCTCGATGAGCGAATATTTCTTGGGGAGGATGCAGATGAAGAAATTGGAACTCTCACAAGGTGCTTAAATACACCTTCAGGAATGGAAACAACTGAAAGAGTACAAGTGAAGCATAATTTGCAGCAGCACTTTGACAGGGTGAGTATGACATGGTCTGTGCTGCTGTTTTTATGTGGAGAATGAGTTGAGTTAGTCTATGTCTGATGAAGAGAAGCAGCAACTAAAAAATTACCATCTTTATTGTTTAAGGGGATCTGGGAGTGTACACAGCATAACTGAGTTAGATTTTGTAATTGATTAGATATGTTGTTTACTTTTGGGGGGTTTTGGACAGAATTTCTCCATGCATTTGGGTTTTCTTTGATTAAATCTAGTACAGAGAATATTTAGGTAACTAACCTAAAGAGGTATCTTTAGGTAAATCTTTAGGTGAAGATTTTCAAGCACACCAGAACAGGCAAGTCTCCATGGTTGTTTGGCAGGTGCTGAATTGTCCTGCAACTGTTGGGGCCCTCTGGAGCTGTCTGTCCAACTTCCCCTTCCCTCTCACGTCTGTCCCACATGCAGAGTGTTTTGGTTAACATATGCAAAGCTGCTCAGGGATTTGCTCTATGCATAATTTTTTTTGTTTTCTTTTAACGGATATGCTTCAGGTGTTAATATTACATCTGTTTACAGTTTTAGTTAAATCACTAGGGAATGGTTTTCACCTTGCTTGCCTAAAAGCACGATACACAGACATTAAAATAGCATAGAATATGGTCTTTAAGAGGATAAAGAACACTGCGTGTTTCAGAACAATAAAGTGACTACCTATAAAATTATCAGGGCCTTCGTGTGACTGGAGTAGCTTTTGAAAAACAGGCACTGGCTTTGAATGCAGACATATATACCTGTGATTACAGAATATCAAAATGTTCCTGAAGATGGAAAAGATATCTTAAAGGAGGAAGGCTACAAGACAGGCAAATAAAGAAGGATATAAGCTGTATTAGCAAAATCAGATTACAGAGAGCAAAGGTGTGAAACAGTCTAGATCACTCGAATAGTTATGTGATCTTTTTCCAGAGTGAGAGCTGGTTAATGGCTTTCAACATTCTTGAGAGAAGAGATCAAAATAACCTTATCTGCAAACTCCGTGCAAGGAGTTCATTCTTCGCTTCTGATCTATTTAAAAAAATAATCAACCACTGTTTTGCTGGCATAGTTCTGGGTGCATAACTCTGGTAGGTTTCTGTAGTGATGAAAGTGTGGCCTGTAAGACAGCAGCTTGCAGCCTGTGCTGCTGCACGCTCCAGGGAGTCCAAGGCAGGGCTGGGGGAACCAGCTTCCCTTAAGGTATGGAGACAGCAATAAAACACTCTTTCCCTTAGGGTATGGAGACAGAAATAAAACACTCCTAGGAGCATGGGGGGAAAATGGGAGGAGTATTGGGAGCTGGACTTGATGGTGAAAAGACTGCAAAATGTAATGTATTCATTAAAATAAGGAAAAATTTCTTGGTTAAGTAATGGTGTGCTTAGATAATTAGAAGATGCATCATTTTTGCTGTACATTAATTGAAGGAACATCCTTCACGTTAAATTATTTTGATATGATGGATTGAACTGACGCAAATGAATTAAAATGCTAATTGTTACGTTCAGGAGGACTTTTAATGTAAGAGTTAAAGTTGCTGAAAGGAAACCCTGGCTCAGTACACTTTTCCTATGAGCTACAGCTGCCTTTGGTACTCAAGGGATAGGAGGGGTCTGCTGGGGTTTTTTGGGGGTTCTGGTTGTGTTTGGTTTTTTTTCAGATTGGCCTAGTTGTTTCACACTTCACTCCCAGTATCTGCATTTCAGTGTGAGGTCACACCCTCTCTGTTTATATGTTTGTATAGTACTATTTGATACAAACATCCAAGTGACACAGATAAATCTTTCATTGCTGACTGTTATCTGAGACATGAACTAGTTTGGGCTGTTTGATTCCTGGTCTTTCCTTCCAGGCATATATCATAACACAGGGTAAGAAAGCATTCTACAGACGCTGTGAGGGTATGTCCTGTATCTAAGTTTCATAATAATGTGCGGTTATATGCCTATTTTTTGTCTTTTTAGTCCAAATCACTTAGGATTACAACCCCACTTACTGGCCGCAAGTATATTAAAGACAGCAACCCGTATGTGACACCTGTTTCTATAGCAACATACAGTTTGAGCCGCCTTCATACGATGCTGGCAGGACTGAGAAATGCCCCCAGTGAAAACCTGGAGCAAATACTCAGGTAAGTTTGATGTTTAGCTAACCAAATAATTCTATTTTTTAAATAGTTTTAATAACAAATGTTAACGCTAAACAGTGTAATTTAAAATGTGAGGCAGTCTTGAAAGGTTCTGGAGTAAAATAGGACCCAGAGAGACACTTAAATTTCAAAAGACTTCACTGTCTTTAATGAGACACCTTTGTCCTTAAGAGATCGATGGCTGTAAGAACATACAACATTTTAAACACAACAGGTCTGAGCTTCTCTAACAGCAAACCGCTAATTCAAAATTTTCAAGACTTTTCTTCTTCCTACTTAGCAAATCTCACTACCTAGCAAATCACTCCATACTGTAGGAGATTTGAAATAACACTTATTCTCCATGTAGATAAACTGTGGCCTCAGGTACAATATATTTTTAAAACAATTTTTATATCACGTGAAAAATGCTGTTTATCCCTGATTGTGGAAAGATGTGCGTATTTACTACAATATATACAATAATAATAATATGCTGTGGACATCTTACAGTACATATACAGTTAGGCACATATGGGTGTGTTTGTATTCCTATCCAAGGCATTTATAGTTTCATGCTTTAATCATATGATAAAAATAGTTGTAGATTTTTTTTTTTCCTTGGTCTTAGTAGGAATAGTATGTGGAAAATGTTTAGTTTTTATTTCCAGGGCATGTTCCAGAGATCCTTCTCAATCTATTGCAAACAGAGTAAAAGAAATGTATGAAGTATACTGCCAGAGCATGCAGTCTGAAGGAGAATTCAGTAATTTTTCCAAAGGTGGGAAACATTTTACTTAGCCATTTTAATTCTTAGCTATATGTAAACACATTTATCTCTTGTAAGTAACTTACAGTTTTACTTCCAGGTTATGCTTTAGCACAAGAGTCTTTTCTATTACTGCTGTCTTTTCCTGGTATTCTTAAGGCATGGCAAATTTCAACCCTGCATGCAATTTTGTAACCAGCCTTAGCTTAAATCACTGGAATGTGATGATACTTCTGGTTCTACCAAAGTGAAACGAAAAGCACTCTTAAGGGTACCGCTTTTCTCTCCGTTACAAGAATAGCGATGGCACGGATTTCTGTGACGGTAACGAAAAATCTGTCTAACTGCAGTCTTTAAAAGTCCTACAGCAATTTTGGCTTACATACATGGATGGGTTAGTACAGGTATTATTAAAATCCTGCCAGTATAAACACAAAGTATTATTTGCAAAGCTGTCAAGATTTGTGAAGCACGTGAAGACGGATTAAAAATTAGGAAGATGCTCTTGACCACCTTGTTTCTTAATAGGGCCTTCCTTACTTTGTATTTGTTCTTGTCAACATAGTTGCTTCAGTGTTTTCTGTTGCGCAGTGCAAGTTGGATCCATATAGGTATTACTTTTCAAACAATGTATTTTCTAAGCTTGACATATGTATATTATATTATAGCAATTTAAAGATTGTTCTTATACATGGTGTTTCCATCAAAATCTGGGTTCAGTAATAAGTTATTCTGCTCTGCATTCACAAGTCGGTGCAGCGTAGGAGAGGGATTCCTAAATTAACTTTACATTAACTGATTTAGTCCTGAAAGTATTGTAGCCACAGCAGCACAGAAATCCACACAAGCTACCGAACCGTTGTATCTCTATAGCTTAGGCTATAGAGATACAATTCTTTTATTGCATTTCACGATGTTTCTGTTTAAAATTCCTGCAGATGTTGCTAGTAAGCATTTTCGTCGTGCTGAGGTGCTATACTACAAGGTCTTGGAGTCAGTCATTGAGCAAGAGAGGAGGAGACTGGGAGACGCTGATTTATCTGTAAGGAAAACTAATCAAGTTGTACCTCACTTTTAAAGTTGGATCTACAAAAAAGGAAAACGGTTGTAGGGCAGAATAGACAGCTAATTAAAATGATCATAAATCTCTGAAAAGTAGCCTGTAAGTACACCTGAATGGAAGAAAAAGTGTGCAAGAAATCATTAGTGTTTGCAAACACAAAGGTGTATGAAATTTTTAATGAGTAAAGATGGCTCGTTTTGGGTTCTGTTCTGTCTCTTTCTTACAAAATAAGTAAGTCCTCTTTTTATAAGCTTGATAATCTTGCTGTGGAGGCAGAATAGAAAGCATTTTACTGTTCTATAGTTACACTGTAAATTAAGTCTTAAAATTTGCATTTTAATTGCTCTTGCAGGCAATACTGGAGCAAGACGTGTTTCATAGATCTCTGCTGGCATGTTGCCTTGAGATCATTACTTTTACGTATAAGCCACCTGGAAACTTCCCATTCATCACTGAAATATTTGACATTCCCGTTTATCATTTTTATAAGGTAAAGTGTTTGATAGCTAGAAATGCTTATCAAGTCATGAGTACTCTACTGACTTCTACTAAGTAATCTCCTTACCTGGACGTTAACTTACACATTAACCCTTCATCCTCAGCTTTGCCCCTTTGGAAAAATGTTACCCAAGTGTCTGTCATTCTGGGGTGTGTCTTGGGTATTTACAAATCAAAATACTGTTAGCAGTTTAACCCAGGAGCAGTCTCCAAGTATCTAGATAGTAACTAATGGCTTACCATTTTCTCAGGAGCCACTGTTGCAGCGCTTGGCATGTTTGTTTAGAAAGATACAAGTATCTGTCTTCTGGTAAACTGCAAGACAACATATGATTGAGTCATAGTAATGCAGCCTTAATATTTCTAATAGCCTCTTCTTCCTCGAAGATCAGGAATTCTTTCTGTAAGAAGAAATATATGAATCAAGTATATTATGTTGACCATAATTATCCACCTTACAGGTAATTGAGGTTTTCATTAGAGCAGAGGATGGCCTTTGTCGGGAAGTAGTAAAACACCTTAATCATATTGAGGAACAGATCTTGGAAAGTATGGCATGGAAACAGGAATCCATATTGTGGGACAGGATCAGAGATAATGAAAACAAAGTTCCTAGTTGTGAAGAGGTGAGCACTTCTTTGTATGTTTTACATAGTTTTCCTCATCAGACGGGATGGCAGAGAGTGGACGTTAATACCCCGAAGGAGAGGCTTTACCTGTCCAAATTTCAGTTTCATCCTACGAGCTCATCAGTGCAGAGAAATAGTAAGTGTAGTGTGCTCTGGTCTGTCCAGGGCCATCTCTGTAGAGACACCCACAATGGAGACATGCAGCTGAGATGATTCTCACCCAGTATTTGCAGAGCACAGCAGAACAAGGAACAAAACAAACAAGCAGGGAAGGTTTGGACCAGTCACACTTGAAAAGATTACTAGACGAGAAGGAAGGTGGTAAAAAGTACAGGCTTTTAATTGTAGTCACAGAACGATTATTACAGTACTGTATCTTCTAGAGTAGTACCACCGCTACAAAATTTTAGTTAGGCTTATGGTAAGTTTTTCAGTGTTCTTGTTTTTATTTTTTTCCACAGTTTTTCTGTTCAAAATTTGTAGTGTGGAAGCTTTTAAAAATTTGTTACGTAGTCAATCTGTGATACAGACACTCTAACAAAAGTATAAATATTTTAGGTAATGCCACCTCAGTATTTTGAGAGATCTGCTGGGAACAGTGTTGTAGGTTCACCATTGACACCAAGACGAATAAACGAGGTTCGCGCTGAAACTGGAGGACTAGGAAAAGGTGAGACTTTTTTAAGCAAAACATACTTACACTTCTTAGACCAGGGCTTCAATTTTTAACTCTAAGTAAGTGGTGTACAGCAAGGAACCTGCTTTAATGTCAATGTGCAGTTAATTGCAAACACATTTGTAAATGGTATTTCTATTGCAACTCACATAGTTAAGTCAGCTGTCTAAGACCGATGCATTCACTACTTCAGTGTGAACAGCATACTGGTTTGGTAGGGCATTTTCAGGAGGTTATGTATATGAATAGCATGTATGTATGTACACATATGTATACATTAAATAATATTGATACACGCACACTACTTATGTTCTGATCGGTAGCACTTGAACAGTTTGCTTTATTGTTATACCAGAATAGAAGCTCCACTATATATTTAGTTATGTGCAGTCTCAAACTTTTTCTCTGGAAAAAGAAAACATCATACAGTAGCTTAGAAAAATATTAAACACAGCATTATTTGAGACTAAGTCATCTCGAAAAGCAATCTGTAAGCCACAAATGTAGACATAAGGAATTTTTCAGAACGTTTCCTGAAGAGCTTTGCGTGACGTATGTTGGTTCTCATTAGATTTCTGTCACGTATTTGTATAATAAGGGATTATACAACAAGAGTTAAATACATATATATGTGTGTGTGTGTGTGTTTTAATCCACAGGCCTTTCATCCTCTCCAACTACCCTGTATGACAGATACAGTTCTCCTACAGCCAATCCTACAAGGAGAAGACTGTTTGTTGATAACGATAATACCTCTGACAGTGGAACTCCAGTAAGAGTTTCCCAACAGCCCGTGGTAAATACGGTGCCTGTGCAGAACATGAATCCCGAAGCAATGTCGGTAACTCCGGTGCCTGGCCAGACACTGGTTACAGTGGCAACTGCCACCGTAACAGCCAATAATGGGCAAACCGTTACAATACCAGTGCAAGGTGAGAGAAAAGCGACTGTAGAATTATTCAGGCTTGTTCCCATCAGAGTATTAGCACACAGTAGGGGGGAAAGGGGGAACAGCACGCCAGCAGAGAAAAAAATATGTTTAGGGATTCCTAATTGGGAAAATTGTATGAACAGATGAGCAGAATTTAGAGACAGAACATGTACAGCACAGGGATGTTCTGCCTGCCAACATCTGTTTATAAAACTTAGTTATTTCAGTACGCCTTCCTTCCTGAACTAGCACAGGATGAAAGTTGCATCAATATCAAAAACTTAGTTCAAGTCCATTATCTTCTTGTCTGCTTATGATGAAAAGTCCAAAGTATCTTGATGAAACAATTTCATATACAACAAACTAAATATATAGTTATAAGCAACTAATAAAAGAATTACCCAATTCTGAAAAAAACCCCAACAAAACCACAAACAACCACCCCCCCCAACCTGCTCTTGTTTCAGACTCTTTTTCTTAAATTACAGGTATTGCCAATGAAAATGGAGGAATAACTTTCTTCCCAGTCCAAGTAAACGTAGGTACCCAGGCTCAAGCCGTCTCCGGTCCCATTCAGCCTCTCAGTGCCCAGACTCTTGCTGGTACCCTGAACACTCAGATGACTGGGGCAACGCTGCAGTTACCAGGCCAGTTAACTGTTCAGCAGATCTCTCCTGGAGAGCAAAGACAAACCCAGCAATTTACCACCGCCACGTCCATCAGGCCGCGGAAGATGGGCTCACTTTCACTCTTCTTTAGAAAGGTAGTTTTCAGTCTAACTTGTGCTTTGCTGAGTTTGTATTTTGGTAAGTCTTCAGTGATTTTTAAAATATGTACTACTTATTAGTAAGAAGAGAATATTCAATTTCAAAGTCAAGCTATACCCTTTGTCTATTCATGGACATACCTGAAGAGTAGTTTTCTTAAGCAGGCAACTTCTCACTAGCAAAGGAGTAGACTATTGCCACAGGCACCAGGAGTTGTGAAGTAGATTATGTACTTGGCCAGCAGGTACTTAAAGGTGTCCATTTTCTTTAAGGCTCTTTAAAAGAAATTCACCTTTGAGACACTCTGTTACTCAGTACGGTGGTTTCTGCAGGCTATGCAGTGCCCTTCCTGCGCTCAGGAGAATTCATATGTTTTCTTGGCTTTAATACCAGTACTGGGAATGTCTGTGTCTTGTAAGCAAAAAAGTTAAATTTAGTTATTCTTCTTTTAGCTCATCATTTGCACAAGTTCTACAGGGTGTGCAAGTCTGAACTACCCTTTAGCTGGGTACGAAGAGCAGTATTGCTATGGCCCTAAGCATGGTCTCCATTTCAACAGGTGTATCATTTAGCTAGTGTTCGTCTGCGAGACCTCTGTGTCAAACTTGATATATCTGATGAGCTGCGGAAAAAGATCTGGACGTGTTTTGAGTATTCCTTGGTGCACTGCCCTGAAATCATGATGGACAGACATTTGGATCAGCTGCTGATGTGTGCCATCTATGTAATGGCTAAGGTAAGGTGAATAAAGAAAAAACAACCAACCAACTTCTTTAAGACTTAATAATCCAAAGATTACAATTCCTCAAAAAACCCTCAAACCAACCAACCAACACACTCACAACAACCCCCAAACAAACAAAAAAACCCACAGAAAAACTATTAACCTTTTCTGTTCGTCTACTCTTAGGTCACGAAGGAAGACAGATCATTTCAGAACATTATGCGCTGCTATCGGACACAACCACAAGCCAAGAGTCATGTAAGAACAGTTAGTATTAAACAATGAGGTATCTGGTTTATTAAATGCCTTAGTTCTATTTTAGGAATGGATTGCTTTTTAAAGTAACAGTATTTAAATTTAATGAATGCAGTCTGTGAGCCGTACTCCTCAGAAGACAGCAGTCATATCCAAAATCCTGCACTACTGGAAGCTTTTTGTGCTAAACTATACCTAAAATAGAAAATATCTTTACTTAAACCCAAAGTAGCAGTGCCTATTGGGTGATACTCCTCTTAGGAGGCTGTATTTTCCCCTTAAGAAGCAATTTGATACCACAATGAAGTTTCTAAAAAGCAGATATATCATGCAGACTATTGTTTCCTAACTATGCAACTGCCCATCTAGTCATCCTTCCTTTTTTATGCTCCTCTTTTTCCCTGCAGGTATATCGGAGTGTCCTGATAAAAGGCAGGAGACGACGACGCTCCGGCAGCAGTGATAGCAGTAGCCAGCAGCACTCACCTACGGACAGAAGTAAAGAGAGAAACAAAGAAAGAAGTGAGTGATTCTAGATTCCAGATGTTTGTTTTTAATTCCATTTTAAAGCAAGAGTTGGATTTTGTGTCGCCCCACCCCAAACGGTTCCTTCTTTGGTAAACTTGGACACAATTAAGAACATATTGATAACATTTAAGAGTTGCTGTAACTGAAGCTTAATATTACACCCACTTTGACAGTTTTGAATCTACCACCACATGAGCTTACCTTAAGAGTTTAGCATGACGGCTGGCCTGAACTCCGAGTTCAGTTTGTACACCAAAGAACATGTCTTTGTGAATGAAAAGGAAATCCGTGCTAGCCGGTGCTCACAGGTCCTCTTTCACATATAACAATCGTGGAGCTGCAGCAGTTTCTTTTGCAGTAGCTGGCTGTCTTCAGAGATAGGAACAAACCAGCCACCCACAGCATCTCTTGTAGCGTATCTGACATCTCTGAAGATTCTTTCCTTGATATTTGAACTGACACATTTTCCTTGAATTGACTTTTGTAACGGAAAGCAACTAAGCGATGCTGTATATTCCTACCACCAGTTTTCAAGATATTTAATAGATGACAGTATAAACTGTAGGTATTAATGTTTTCTGTCACGGAGAGGTGGCAGGGAGAGGAGGGAAAAATTACATATATTTTGCAACTTCCCACATTAGACCAGCAGGAAGTATTACCAAGCCAAATATTTTTACTACTAGCTGAAAAAGACTGCCACTCTGTATTTGAAATTGTGCCAGCTGGCAAGAAGAAAGAGCTACTGCTAGAAGTATAGCACAAAAGCCTGAAAAAGGGAGTTTTAGCTCTGCTTATATTGTGATGAAACTCAGCTTATGCAGAAAAGCCACTTGCAGTTTACCCAGTAAGAAGTTAGAAATCACGTGTTTCTGTACACGTACTCAGCAGTTTGTTGATCTTTAACAACACACTGCTTTTTCGTAAGGGAAGATGCTAAGGGAACAAAATTAGCATCGCTGATACTGACACCAGATTCATGGTCACTGTACTGCAATTTAAACGTCTGGAACGCAGCTTCTGCGTGCGGCTGAATGTCTGGAACTCAAGCGGTTGAAGTGCATTAAACAGGAGGGATTGCTCTCACCTTCACAGCTAGCAGAGACTCCAGCCCAGTGATGCGATCCAGCAGCACCCTGCCTGTGCCGCACCCCAACAGCGCTCCCCCTACTCCAACCCGACTGACTGGTGCCAACAGCGACACCGAGGAGGAAGAGCGAGGTGACCTGATACAATTCTATAACAACATCTATATCGAGCAGATTAAAGAATTTGCCCTGAAGTATACTTCAAATGCAGTAAGTTAAATTCTGTGCTTTTCATTAGTAAATGGATTATTTTTTTTACTGTGCATGCAGTACTCTCGGCTAACCTCACTGCAAGCAAATTCAGTATTTTTGTGACAATAATTTCAGTTCAGGACCTACTCTGCTGCTAAAAGACTAAGCACTTTTGCTGCCTATTTGCTGTTTCCTCCTGTATGAAATACACAGCACTGCGCAACGTCATCCACCAGCCTCAGACAGGGTTAGAAAAGTCAGTAATAAAAAAATAACCCTAACCTGGCCTAATAACATGACAAAACTTGCATCTGCTCTAAACACGTATGGTATGACATTAGTGGAAAAAACCCTAAAGTGTGTTTAAGATGACCAACTTACAGAAGCCTTGCTGTAGTAACACCCGGGATCAGATACCAACTATTGAATGATTTTCATTTTCTCTTGAGCAGACCGATTCCCCCCCGCTCTCACCCTACCCGTTTGTAAGGATTGGCTCCCCTCGCAGAATACAGCTGTCCCAGAATCACCCAGTGTACATCTCGCCACACAAAAACGAGTCCACTCTCTCGCCTCGAGAGAAAATATTCTATTATTTCAGCAGCAGCCCGTCTAAGGTGAGACTGAAGGGTTTTAGTTTGCTTTTATAAATCCGTAATGCTACCTTTTCTTTTTGGTCGTGAAATTAGAGAAGACTCTGCAACACACCTTTCTGCTTACGTTGTTTAACGTACACTTTCTCACCTTACGCTCTTCAAACTGTCAGTTCAGGTATCTAAGAAGTTGTAAAGCAATTAGGTGTCCAAGCTACTTGTGTACCTTTAAAAGAAGTTACTCTTTGTACTGGTACACATGAAAGCCTCGGGAGGCGCGGCAATGGTAGCCTTTGCTTTCAGGTAACAGATGGGTTACTTGGTATGGAGACTGTTCAAAGAGCAGAACGTTAAGTACAATCGCGTGCTCTGATCGACCCAGTGGGGGAAGAAAAACCCAAATGGCTCTTAACGTGAAAAGACTTGCCAGGTGAATATGTAATAGGCTGAATCCTGTGATCTCTGCTCACCGAGAATGAAGTAGAAGTCTTTCCTGAGAAGCACCTTCATTCCAGATAGGAATTGTTGCATCTATGGTGTAAGATAAGAGTCGTAACTATGGATGGAAGGCCCTTCAGCTCTGCGTGTGCTGAAAGAAGCAGCTTGCTTAGGTCTGAGTAAGACTCTAGCACACAGCAGTGGAAAGACCAGTGCAGTGGTTAAAAAGCTTAGTCTGTCACAGGAAGCACTATGTACAGTGCAGATTTCCAGAAATAAAGCAAATGTAATCCCAATGTAAGCAATTAACAAAAGCTCACTTTATATTTTGGTAGTCACAATAATGAGAGAGAATTCTACTTTCTTTTCCCCCCTCCTCTCTCCAGAGGCTAAAGGAAATTAACAGCATGGTTAGAACTGGAGAAACTCCAACCAAGAAGAGAGGCATTCTCTTAGAAGATGGCACTGAAGCACCAGCTAAGCGCATCTGTCAGGAGAATCACACTGCTCTGTTAAGACGACTACAAGATGTAGCAAATGACAGAGGGTCTCACTGAGTCCAGGGTTCCAGCACAGGTATTCCCTCTCTGCTGCTCCACTGGGCCGGGCTGCTCAGCGCACCACATGGATTCACCAGGCCTTTGCGAGTGTCTTCAGCCAGGCTGTCCTCTTCCCACCCCACCGCCCTGGTTGTGACCCATCTCCTGCTGGACCGTGCTGAGCCTTTCCACTTGTCGGGCAGGGGCAGGGGCAGAGCCTCCCACAACGCCCGGGACAGCGAGGATACGCTTCAAACCCTGCGACCCAGCCTCACCCCATGGTTAAGCTAATCATAAGGCAAGTGATCCATCTCCAGGCTCTGGCTTCGGAAAGCAGCTGAAGAGCTTTTTGGTGCTTGGAGAACACACCCCCGATACAGCTTTCTACGCTTTCTACCTTGCAACAGGTATTTAAATCTGCTTGCTCTAACCAGTCCACTCACTGGTTTTATCAGTGCTTTACCATTTTCATCTTTGGACTAGAAAGTTACATGTGTGTCAGAGCTGGGAGCACTGCCCCAAGATAACCACATTTGACGGCGCCTTGGTTTTACGATAATGACCTCCACAAAAATAACGACTGACTCACAAGTAATATCCTAGCGAAGTCCAGTTCTGCTTGAAAGGGAAGATGGGAATCATCTTTTTAAGCCCTGAAGGAAGCTGTCGGAATGGATCCTTTCCATATTCAGGATGTTTCGCGTGCCCCTGAAAACCATCGCGTTGTTTTGCTTTAATGTTTGGGCACCTTGTTGTTTAAAGGTAGACAATTCTGTTTATGCATTGTTTTTAGCTGTGCAATGTTTTAAAGTGAACTCATGTTCAAAAGGTGGCACTTTGGATAGGGCTGTGAAGCATCGTTTTTAATGCAGATTAGTTTTGCTGTATATTTGCAATGGCACTTTCTAAATGTGAATATTTTTTTCAAAGGCTGACTTCAGCTGTCTTTCTGTATTGAAGCAATTTGACTTTGTATTTATTTTCAAATTGACATCCCATAGCTCCCCTCTTCAGCAAATAGCATTAAGAATTCCTGCTAACTTGCTGTAAGGAAGGCGGGAGGCTAGGGATGTTTGCTTTTTTTCAAGGAATTTTATATGCTTGTAATGTTTCTTCAGATCGCTTTTCTTGAGAGTTGGGAACCGGCCACCTCACTCACTCACTCGCTCAGTGGAAGGACGGTGGCGTCCATCTCTTAAAACATATACTTAGCTTTTTTGTTTGTTTTTAAAGGAGAGGGCTTGGGGGGGGTGTTACTGGTTTTTTTAAATGGACTAAATCAAGCTGCCTGGGAGAAATCTCTCCCCTACTAACAGGATAAGAAAGGGGTGCAGATATTAGACTTCCTAGTTGTTTTCATTTGATGTAGTTCCAAAACACCAGGAAAGCGTTCAACATGCTAACCACCGGTACAGCGCAGCGAGGTACTCCTTTTCAACGATGTAACCGGGACAGTGGTGGTGCTAATGAAAAATGTAGCCCACGCGGATTCTAGAAGTTGTTTGTAAGGAAGCAGAAACTAAAACCGCCATGTTTTCACGCCATGTTTTCAGCCATTCCTGCTCCTCTGAATAATGGGAAAATGTATGACTTAATTGCACCGCACATTCAATTAAAGTAGAATAAAAGCATCTTTCGTTCTTACCTGCATAACAAAAAGGCTGAAGTCGAGAAATTGTGTAGATGTTTCTGTAAAAATATTTATGAAATTGTCAGACAATTCTTGTTACTCTCTACCATTTACATTACTTTGTATGAAAATATTGCGAGTGTATTTTTCAATAAAGAATTTATAAACTCACAATTTTATGTCCTTGTATGAAAAAAGCACCGTATGTGCAAAGCTAAAAACAGTCTGTAGCTCTCAAACACGAGGTGCGACCAGGTAGCGCAAAAAGAAAACATCAAAACGGTCATAGAGCCAGGACCAACAAGGCACGTGATACACCTGAGGTTCCAAGAACTTCAGTCAAACGCTGCAATTAATGGTTTGGGAAAAAAAATAAATACAAGAACCACACTTACTTATTAGTCACACAACAAGGAAAAGGATTTACGCTGGCGCCAGCTCAGTCATCGTGTTTGTTCTGAACGCATTTCCTCCTGTTGCTCTGCCAGAACGTGGCACAATGGAGCCTGCAGAGGGACAGGGCCAAGGACCGCCTTTGCCGGGGAGTCTCGCCAAGCGCAGCCACGGGCTCCCAGTGCTGCTCGTCTTTGCGGAGGAGGAGGAGGAGGGCAGCTGGCTAGGCTACACAGCGGAAGAGGGCCCTAGAACAAAAGCAAGCTGGTACGGCTTCCTTGCAGGAGCTTTCAATTCAAGATCTCACACTTCAATCCGATGAAAGCAGAATTATTTTTGTACATACTAGCCTATGTACTCATGTTTGAACTAAATTAGGGAAATTTCTAAGACATCTCAAGTAAGTTAAGAACCTGGCAGCCAGGTACTGTACTTCTACAGCTAAGTACGGACTGTTTCCCCTGCGTCTTTACCTAGTGGCCCTAGCACTGGCTTTCATCAGCTTCTGCTGTTTCTATCACTTTCTGAAACCAAGTTGTTTAGTAACCCTCAATTGTAAATAATAATACATATACAATTTGTGGTTTATGCTTTGAGACAAATGCCAAAAGCACTACTTCAGAGGTGTTCTGAAGGGAAAAAAAATTAGTATGTAAACATGACTAAAAAAAAAACTAACCTCAAGTGGTTTCAGAACATTTGTTTCAAGACTTAGAATAGTTTGGTTGGAAGGGACTGACAATGATCATCTAGTCCAACTGCAAACTTAACTGTTCAAGACTGCTCTAGCATAACTCGTATTTCTCCTTCTGAAATATTCTTTACAGAATTCAGAATTGCAAAGATGATATTCAAAAATGTCACTTTTTCAAAGTATTGGCAGGGCCTTAAATTTAGTTTTTCATTAAATGATAACTTGTACTAGGAACGATGACAGCTAAATTGAGGAGAAAGGGTTTGATTTCAGCGGTATCGTTTCAGTACTCATTTGCCTACCTTGCTCCTGGAACAGCCTCTTTTAATACACAAATCTGATTACAGAAGACATAGTTAGTGTTCTCTCCCCTTTCTCAATTTAAAAAAAAAAAAAAAAAAGGATTCAGACTATTCATTCTAAGCTAAACAAAATTCAGCATTCTTTAAAAGAATAAAATTATTTTCTTTTCCACAAACTGCTGTTAGCATGGATTTAGCTTAGAGCAATCCAGCCTACTCACCAGACCGACAGAGGTCCGTAACAGCTCAAAGATAAACAAAACTTACTCAGATAACCATCATTTTTACTACATCATTCCATCATTCTTCCTCGTCATTGTTGTTACTGATCTTTAACTGTGGTGCTTTCTAAACCCCGGCAACAATCGGACAAATAAGACGACAGCCGCCACATCTCTGAATTGTCCTTAAGTAACAGGTGCCAGGATTTGCTCCACATTTAACCCTCCCCTCACCCAACGCCACCACTAAGCGTGGGGATACGGGCGCTCTTCTGCTTTGTACGGCACCAGGAACTAAGGCCTGTGTCCACCCTGCTGCAGCCGAGATGAGCATCCCAAGATTAGAAGGGATTAAACTTCCACACAAGTCCTTCACCTAAGTGGCTCAGGAAATTTGCAAGTCAGTGATGTATTACAAAGGCTTCTGAGTAATCATAAAAACAAATAAAGAAGAACTACCACATTCCAATTTAACACTCTAGTTCTGTCTCCCTGCCCAGCTGGTACATTGTGCTCAGTCAAAATGCTAGGCCTGTTTTCTGCTTCACACGAGTCCTTTAACTAAACTTTTCTAATGCTAAATCTGAAGAATTAAAATTTCAATTTCAGCCTTCCCAAGAAAAGCATAAGAGAAATAACAGCAGCAGCAGACTTAGCGTTCACAGCATTTGAGTAGCTACACTCCAGCCCTCAAAAACTCTCCCCACATGCTTTTCTTGAAAAAAACATGTCACCGCTTTCCAGGCAACACAAGGTCAGATCAGTTCCTCCATTTCTGTTTTGTATTGCAAACTCAGAACAAGCATTTGACAATTCCAAGGCACTCGCAATTCCTCATAACCTGCCAGATGTCCGAAACACACAGGCTAACGGGGCATTAATGCCACACAGAAGAGAAAGCCGACCGAGGTAAGTGACACAGAGCCACCTCTTTTTCCTTTGCACTGGGTTACAAGGAAGCTGGCAGTTTCTCTCACAAGTTTTTACAAGTCCCACACCGTGTTAGAGCCCACTTCAACTACGCTGAACCCCATTCTAGAGACTTCCCTAGCAGAAAAGGGCTACTGGAAGCAAGCTGCTCAATAGCGGGGTCATCTTGACTAAAAACCACCTATTTGTTAGAAAGGTTAACGACCAGAGACACATGACATGGACGATGGAGTGAAACTGAACAAACACCTATTTAGGATTATCAGACATCCGTTCCCTAGAATGCAAATAACAAAACACTATGAAGGATTTTTTTTTTCTTAATGTTCCCTAGAATGCAAATAACAAAAGCCAGAAACACTATGAAGGATTTTTTTTTTCTTAAGTAGTGAATCCGCTGCGCAAGAAGCAAGGAAAAGGTAAGAGAGCAACAAAAGAAACATTGTCCAAATATTAAGCTAGTTGTCAAGCGGTTGTCAGCCACCCCACACTCCCAGAAACAATTTGATTTAAGGCATGACACATCAGCTGTGGCCGCTGCAAGCGCTCCCCTCTATGTTGTGCCACACGTCCACCCCTTTCCATGGGCATAAACCTGCTGGGGAAGGTGCAAGCTGGATGTGAGCTACTTCCTGCACGTACCCTTCCTAACAACACAAATTGCAAGGCACAGCATTAAATAAGAGATATTAAGAAAGATATCTAGAAGCATTGGAGGGATCTAAACCAGAGTGAGAGAACAGCTGAACTCCTGCCCAAGCTATGCAGAGAAAGGCCGTTCCCCACATGCGCTGCCTTCAGGTCTGCGAAACAGCATGAAAAAAAGCAAAAGGTGCCCAACAACCTAA